CTCCCTCCTTGAATTTAGCTGTGTCTGTGTGCTACCTCACCTCTTCAAAAAAGCAACAGAAACATCTGAAGTGATGGGGGCAGCGAGTGGCACCTCTCTAATAGTCAGTGTGCTCTGATTTTGGCATGGAGTGGAGGGGTATGGTCACTAGATACTCAGTGCAGACACCAAAATAAGTTGTACCAAGATATTGGAGGACAAGCAGGAGAAAAGGGAAGCAAAGGAGACAGGTGCAATCACACAGGCCGAGAAGTAGCACCTTTTTGACACACTCAGCTAAAACAGGAGAGCTGGGTACTTCTTACCTGTTTCATAGGCACAATATTTAATGTTTGCCCTGCTGAGTTTACATCTTGCTTTGGTTTGATTTCTTTCTATCTGTCCATCTCTCCCTTTCAGATTGTAATGTTTACCCTGTATCTTTTAACTTTCTTTGTGACTTTCATGGGAGTTCATTGTTAAAGAGTTACTTTAAGTCTCAGAGGAAGCTTTGGATTTTAACCTTTTAGCAATGCTGAAACTGTGGAGATTTTGGAAACTTAGAGATGAGCTACTTCCAGTTCACAAGTCCTGGGGACCACAGGTGGAATACTTAGATGTCTGCAATAGTCTCATGTGCTCATAGGAGGTTTTTTTTTGTTTTTTGTTTTGTTTTGTTTTGTTTTTTTTTTTGTTTTAATTACTGGATTATGGGAAGTACAGCTGACTTGCTGTCAGGAGGTAGGACCTCAACAGAAGACATAGGTCACTAGAGGCATGTATTTCCCTCGTCATGCCTGCTTTCTCTCTCTGTTTCCCAACCACCATGAATTGGACAGCTTTTCCTCTACTATGCTTCTCTACCATGACCTCTTGCTTTGAGGCAATTATGAACTGAACACTTCAGCCGAAATAAACCTCTTTTCCATTAAGTTGTGTCAGGTATTTTGAGGAAGTGAATACCACCCCTGTCATGGCCATGAAGCTGTGTGTTTATCAGACACCACCCTGGCAGATATAAGCAGCACTTGCAACATCAAGAATCCACCTGGCTCTCAGAGGGGCTCCAATCCAGTGAAGGGAGACAGTTGAATAAATGGAAGTGTGTGCATGAAAGCCATATGATTTGTCTAATGCTCAGGGCTGCAAACTAGTCTATTCTGAAATTTTAGAATAAAAACATTTTCTAAAAGGAATATTGTCAAAGTAAAACAAGCAGGAGTTTGTTTCCTCAAATACACAATGAAAATAAACCAATAGGTAATTTATCAATCATCTCACATACATAATCTCTAAGACCACTTTAAAAAACATGTCCTTGTCAGTATTTTATAGATGAAACAATAGAAGATTAAAAATGGGCATGGGGAGACTGAAGCCATGGAATACAGGACCTAGATCTGCACAGGAACTCAACAGTCAGACTTTTAATTATTTAATTAAAAAAAACACTGAAATACAAAAAAATTCCAAAGATAATAAAAAGAGGACAATAGTATAATTACATTTGGTGTTGCATGAGCCATTATCATAAGCCTGAAATATCTATAGCTCTTTCGATAGACCAAAAAATAAGAAAAGCTATGTACTTCATATGTTTGGTTATTGTTTAAATGATTATGTTTATTTCTAACACAAGAAATTAAAAAATCTACAGATTTCTTCATACCGTGGCCTGGCCACAGGATATAGGGAAGTTTGTTCCAGCCACTACGAAGTGAATATGTGGAGTGCCTACTAGAAAACCTTGTTGTAAAGACTGAGACAATGTGTACATAAAATGTATTTTTCAAAGTACTTCATTATGATTAGTTGAGATACAAGTTCAGTCATTCTTTTTAATCCATACCCTAAGACAGTTAGCATTTGAATGACGGATCAAAGGCTCTTGTATATAGAAAACCAAATCAAGCACAGTTTGACAATCTATTTCTGGTGAATACCAGAAGGCTTTTATTTAGAATAACGGATGTCAAATAACAATTTTCATGATATAATGGTGTTCACAAGGGTCTATGTGTATTGTATGGACTTTCCCACTCCCTGAGTAAATACTATAAATATTTCAGGTGAAATTTTGCACTGAAAGAAGTCTTTGTCACAATAATTCCTATAAAACAAAACAATCAATTGGATTAAGCATGATTCCACTTTCCTAAAAAGCACCAGCTGTAATTCATGCATATGAGTTATTTTCCCCCTGAATATTTTAATTGGCAAAGTAAATATATAACTTACCATTGTGACTATTTTTAAGGCTTGGTACACTAGTACTAAATGAATGTTTGTTTATCTAGGTTTCTGACTCAGAAGATAAAGCAATATGTTAGTATGAAAGAGCATTAATAGACACATAAGACAGATATCAAATTCAGAAACTTTCTTACGGCAAAATGGAGAAAAAAGGGATGAGTAAAGGAATGAAAAGTGGCTTAAGTTTATCTGTGATGTCTTCTTGTTTTTAAAAATAATGAACCAATTATTGCAAAATATTAAGGTTTGACAAGTTGCAAATACAAAAGTGTTCATTATATAATTTTCCATATTTTTATGTACTTTTTCTTTTTAAAATTTAGCCTAATTTTTAAAGCACAAGCAAGTTGCACACATGGTAAAGCATATCCATAGATTCCTCAGGCACTCCTCCAATGTGAACTCTTACTCCATCATAACATGAAGGTGGAACCAGGACATTAGCATTAATGCAATGCCATAAACTAACATGAAGACAGTACTGGAATTTCCCTCACTTTCTCACTCTATGTGATTTCCTACTCTATGTGATTCTATCTACACTCATACATTGACTTGCTTGATATCTTGTTAGTTACTTGCAGTCTGTAATCTACCTCTGTCTTTCACTGCCTTTCATGACTGATAATTTTCACATATTGTGTCAAATGTCACACAGCTGAAGTCATCTCATATTTTCAAATGCTTTAGGTGATTGTGAATGTCACAAATTCATGATGTCTTTTTTTATAATTTTAGGTTATTTTATCATTTTGAACAATTAAAAGTAAATGGTTTATATTCTGTACAGAACTAGAATTAATAAGATGCCTTACATTCACAACTAAGAAATGTATTATAGGTAATTGGCTTATGCCATTGCAGAGGCAGAAAATTTCCAGTATTTGCCATCTTCTTGTTGGAGATTCAGCAAAGAGCCCACTGTAAGGTTCTAGTTTGAATCTGAAGTTCTGAGAAGCAGGAGGGCTGATGAATAAGTTTCAGTCAGATCAGAGGAAGAAAGAAATTTGACAAGACCCCAAGATGGTCAGGCAGAACAAAATCTGCCTTCCTGAGTTTTTCATTCTAGGCAGACCCCCAATGAACTAGATAAAGCCCACTGCATTAGATTTTACTGGGTCTGCTGATACATACGTCAATCTCATCCAGAAAACACTTTCAAAGACACACCAAGAGTACTTAATCAGGCTATGTGTGATGACACACACCTGCAATCTCAGCACTGAGGCAGGAGAGGGCCTGCAAATTCGAGGCCAGCCTGGGGTACATGTGAGTTCTACACTACAGAGAGAGCCTGAATTACGTAGACAGATGCAGTCTCAAATCTTGAAATGAAACAAAAATAGAATAATGTTTAACCAATATTCCAAAATCCAAAGACCCAGTCAAATTCACACAGCTTTCAAGCTTGACTTCTAAATTAGAAAGTCTTCCTCTATATATTTAGACTCTAAGTTGACATTGACTGAAAAAGATTTTAGAAAAGTTCTCAGTTCTTAAAGTCAGTAATCTTTCTGCTTCAGACTTAAAACATTACAAATCCAGAACATATTACTATTTAGAAAACAGAGAGGTTTTACTGTGGAATATCTTGCTTCCAGAGATAGACAGTTTATACTATTTTAGACATCCATCCTTGTGCCCTCATGAGGGATCTGCTTCAGCCTGCATGGTGTTTGTAAAAATATTTTGAAACTAAGGAGAAAGGTCCTATGGTTTGCTACCTTCTTTTTTCTCTGTTTCCTTTTATGGCTATAACTTGTGTCTGATAGTGTCATGGTAACCAGCATCCCAAGAAAACAAACTCTGATCATTAGAGATATTTTTTGACCCTTAGAGTTTCAACAGTGAGACTCAAAACTGAAAGACTTATCATATGTCCTATTTAAGCTCTAGGAATTAAAAGCAGTCTTTCAGATGGGTGATCACCAAAGCAGGGCATGACACTGTGGAAGCTCTACATATATGTTCATGTGTGTGTTCACATGAATGTGTATATATGTGTGTTCACATGCTCTTCCATCTCCAGGTATTATTAGCAGGGCATCATGAAAAATGTTGTACGAAACGTGCCATTTGATGGAGGGAAGGAGAGCATGTAAATGATTATGACCTGTTTGGACAGCAGCTTGATATTAACTATTGTAAGATGGAAATGTATTTGTGACATCTGGTTCATAAATAACATGAATACAAATATAACGAGAGACATAGAGATTTGTGGACAAGAATCATCAAATACACATATGTGTTTACTGTAGGTTTGTTATAAAGTAATGTTTCTATTTATGTGTCATCTACATACATAGACTGTGTACATATACACACATTTTAGATAGATAGATAGATAGATAGATAGATAGATAAGATTAAAAGGAAATTCAACAGAACATTTTAATGACCTGTTTTCCATATCTGTAAACAGTGGAATTATAGGTATATCTACTGCCCTCCTTACACTTTACTGTACTTTTCAGATTTGATGCAAGTATCATATCATATCTTTGATGAAAGTTAGTTCAACTGTAATAGGAAAAATGTGGAACACAACCAGGTGGAGACATTTAGTAGGGAGGTGGTTGGTTTTACAGTGTTTCTATTGGTTTAACAGAACTTGCCTCTTCTGCTCTTTCTTGAAGAGTACAGACACAGGGTGAATTTTGGTCTGAATGGGATAATTCCCAATATAAACAGGAGTGGGTCATATTATTAAGTACCTGACACTTCTTCTTCCCAATATCCTCTCCTTTTTTTCTTTTTGAAGCTTTTGGTGTTGATGAAGAGGTCTCTCTCCTCTATTCATTTCCATGGCATCTTCATCTTCCAGCAGCGATTACTATGACACGAGGGACACCATTTCCAAATCAAGTTCTTACGACAGTATCTCTGTGGAGTATTTCACTTGTGAGGACACCTTTCCCTGTGAGGAAACAAGTTCCTGGGAAGACATGACTTCCAATGAAGGTTCTTTACTCCATTTCCTGCCTCCTAACAAAGGGGCAGGGGTGATGCAAAGTAAAAGTACACCCATCATCAGACGATATGGAATTCAGGATGGAACAAAGAAGGATCCCAAAATTAGCATTTCCCTGGCCTGGAATGATGAGGACATTGACACTGCAGCTCACATAGTGGAACGTCTGATGAAAATGCTTCACACATGTCTAGAAAAGCTAAAAGATAGTGAAGAAAGTATAAAAGATTGTGACAAAAATCAGAAAAATGAAAGAGAAATTAAGGAAAGTGACAGAGACAAAGTCTCTGGATTTTCTGAGATTGCAGAGGGAGAAAAGTTTCAACTATGCAAACAGTCCCCTCTTCATATGCCTCAAGGCAGTCATCAAGAACATGATAATTGTCAAGCATTGCCCAAGAGGAAACCACCAGACAATGAAGATGTCATCCAGTTCCCTGGGATGTCTCCAAAGTTTAAGGAACAGGATCTTGCTGAGGTGAGCACAGATATGCTTCCCAAGGGGGCAAAGGCAGATCCAGTAGGGTTGCTAGCTGAACAGCAGAGTCATACTATGTTGTAAAACAGGGCTGGATGCTGGTTGTTTGACATGACTAGCAGTAGGACAAGGAAGACAGCAGGAAAAAAAGTCCAGAGAGGAAATGTTGGAAAAATATCAAAGAATCGTCATCAGAGAGGGGAGGACAGGAACCAAAAGAAGAGATAATTGTGTGTGTGTGTGTGTGTGTGTGTGTGTGTGTGTGTGCGCGTTGATCAGTGCCAAAACTCTGCTTTTACTGTTGGGCCATTTCAGGTAAAAAGATTTGAGTTCCATAAATGAGTAAATATTGACTTCATGACTGTCAATATTACATGTATGCAATTCATTCTTTTCTTGGCAGACAATGAGCCAAGTGACTGACAGCCAAATGACAAACATGACAGAGACCACTTGGATCTCATCTGTGGAGACAGACAAGGAGGGCACTCTTTCTGACACACAAACCACACTCTGTCTGAATTTGAGGCGTGCCCTCATCTGGATTAGGAACAAAGTACTCTGCTGTCTAAGGAGGAGAAGGAATCCTGAGTAGGCCACGCACAGACCCCATTCATGCATACCAAAGACAAGGTGTCTTACTACTGGCAAGATGAGCCAGTATAAAGAATCCCATGGATAACTAGCAGACCGTATATACCCCAATTTTAAATTATCTGATGTCCTATATAGATATTTGATACTTTCATAGGTTCTTTTTTTCTCAATAAAATAAATGTTCTTATTATCATGTCTTTGCCTAGCACATTGTCTTAATTCTGGGTGAAAGTATATAAGCTATCTAGATAACTGGAATTCATTCTGTGGAAATTTTAGGTAATATGATGCTTCCTTAATTGAAGGTATTCATCCTCCCCACCAACTCTTCTTATTGTATTTTACCCGATTTTATCTATGTCATGTTTTCAGACTATTTTATATAAACTCATAGCCCACATTCAGAAGTGAACAGTGTAAGCCATTAGACTCTAGCCATGATGCAATTATTTGCATTCAACTTCTGGAGCTGAAGCATATGACAGTGTGGATTGAGTCACTCAGCAAGCTAACTGCAGTTGATAATGGTTGCAACATTCAGAAGGCACTACTCGTGTCCTTGGGAAACCAACTGGTTCTAGCATGTTTGTAACTCTAACATTTTCTTGCATGTTAGTAGGTCTTAGCATGCTGCTTTTATTAAATGGCCTGCTTAGGATGCATGTGAGGGTTAGAAGTGCTATGTCACCAATCTAGCTTGGTTCTCCTCATTCATAAGAGAGGGGGGATAATTATACACATCTTAACAGGTTAGAGAATCAACGAGGACAAGTATTCATTAAGTAAATGGTATTATTCTTCTTATTGTTATGAGTTGTTTTCCTGAAGATTTGTCCAGGAGACCACTCAAGGAACAGATAAGAGTAAGAATTTGGATCAACACTCAGAAGCAACACTCTAGACAGCTGGTGAATGTGTGCCTGGACACCTTCCACAGTTAATGGCAGGTCATGAGTTTATTTCTACTTTAATCCAAGTTCAGAGCTCTTATCACTACAGCATGGATGCCTTAATTCAAAATACATGACAAATGGAGATTCTGATCACTGACTTTTTGTTTCCTTAGTCCCAACAGAGACCATGTTTAGGCAATGATTGAGACATTTTTATCCATACCTTAGAGTACAGCCCTGGGATCAGTTGAATATGACATGAAAGGATCTGAAATAAAACCCGAGCCAACTAACCCAACTAGTTAACTGAATTGCAAAAAGTCATACCATTTAAAACTGTAGAACTTTATAAAACATTTTCCTTCACTGACTAGGACATTATAGCATCTAGCTTTCCAATATGAGATACTAACAAACTAAAAACAAATTAAGGTGAACCAATGTAACAAATTGGCCCTGCTAATGATAAAATGCCTTTCTAATAAAAAAGGATACATTGGCTATATTCTCATTGTTGAGACAAATATCCATAAGTTTAAAAAAGAAAGGTTTATTTTACTCACAGTTGGGGAGGTTTCAGACCAAGGTCAGCTGGTTCCACTGCAGGGAAGCATGGCAGAGGGGTGTGGCTGAGGAGAAAGAGTACATTGCAAAGTAGGCAGAAAGCAGCAAGCATGGAACCTGGTTTCCTTTTTATTCCATCCAGGCTACAAGCCTATTGGTTGGTGCCATCCATACACACAGTGAGCCTTCCCATTATGAACACCCAGAACTATGCTAAACCAATCCGTGGGCTAATCCAGTCATCACATATTTATAATAAAATATTACCCTCCAATGAACTAGGCAACTCTGAAGAGTTTCAACTATGAGTACATGAGGCTTTTGGAGGACACCTAGATATAAGCCATAACATTTTGTACCTCAAAAGACTCATGCACAATCCTTTATACTAAATGCCTTTAGTTCATCTCTAAGAGTTGCTGAAGTTCTAATAGTTTAGCATTACTGAAAAGTCCAAGTTCAGAGTCTCCTCTGAGATTTAAGGCAAACTCCTAGCTGTGAGCCCATGTAAAAATGAAAAGAAAGTTAAACACTTCCAACATACAATGACACCAGACAATCACTTTCACTCCAAAAGGTAGAGAGATACTGGAACAGAAAGGAATGGGATCAAAACAAGTTTACAGGACCATTGTTAAGTCCTGTAGCTTCATGTCCAACACCTGGGGCAAGTTGTAGCAATGTGAACTCCAAAGGGCTTGAATAGTTCTGCTCCTGTGCCATTGCAGGTAGTTATAGCCCTCACAACTTATAGTCTAGGCTAGCTTTGCTCAGAAGAACCACCTTCCTGCTTTCCCTAAATTTATAACTTTCCTCAGAAGATCTAGATTCCTGATTTTTCTAAATTTCTGGGCTCTCGCTGAAATTTTTGTTTCACCCTTGCAGCTTCACATACTGTCCTCTCAGGGACAAACTGCCTGCTCTCCCAGGCCTTCTGCTGAAATCTAGGTGAAAACCTCCTTGACCCCTCAACTCTTGTATTCTGCTTGTATGTAAAGCCAGCACTGTGTGGATAGCATCAAAGTCTGCCACCAGCTGAGCCAGCTACCAGGTTTCCTTTTCTCTTGGCTATAGGGGTTGTATGCCTTCATTGCAGAGTACCATAAACCCAATCCTGACAGATAAATTATCTAGACCACCCATGTCATGGCACATGGTGTTCTGGGGTTTTTTTTCTCAATGCAAAGTCACCTTTGTAATTTTCAGGAAGAAAGGTGGAGTCTTGACTTTTTTAAAAATCTTAATTCATTTTTTCTATTGCTCAGATTCAAAGTACTTGGCTTTTTAATGTTAATCATTTCAGCATCCATGCTCTGCTCTATTTATTTTTTATTATTTATTTATTTTTGCAGTACACAACTTTACTAAAGTTTCCTGTCTGGCAAAAACTCAAAATTTGTTAAGTCATTTTGCTAGATCATTTGCTCTTGATTCTTAAGGTACAGCTAGACAAAAGATTCCAAAAATAGCCATCACACTACCTCAACATTAGTCTGCCTTGAAATTTTTTCTACTGGATTCATGAGCCTACTATCCTTAATATAAGTCTCCCACAAAATCTCAGAGCACAAGAAATATGCAGGAAAATTTTCTGTCAAAACATAACATACATGGTTGGAAGTCCATTTGCCAGTGGAATCTTTGTTCCCAACTGAAATCTCTAGATCCTGCTCTTTACTGGTTGCATTTCTATCAGCATTCTGATCTCCTGAGCTCTGACCTGAATCTCTCATTGAGCTTAACTCACAACATTTTATGGATATTTCTTAAGCCAGCATCTCTAAAACTCCAAATTCTTCTGGCAAGCCAGATCCAAATGCTTCTGAACCAGATGACTAGGTAAAGTCATAGCAATGACACCAATTTTCTGACACTAAAATCAGTATTAGTTATATTCTCATTATTGGGATGAAATACACAACACTTACAAGCTAAATGAGTTTGTAGTCAGCTGGCTCCAAGGCAGGGGGGCATGACAGAGAAGAAACAGCTCATTGCAGGCCAGGCCAAACGAATCAAGCAGGAAACTCCTTTTCCTTTTTATTCCATCTAGGCTACAAGCTTATTGGTTAGTGCCAGCCACACACAGGATGGGCCTTTCCATTATCCACACCCTGAGCCCTGTTAAACCCATCACTGGAGTATTCCAGTTATTACATTCATAATTCAGGGTCAAATATCCATGATCTATTCATCTGCCAGAAGCTCCATTTATGTGCACATGAGGCATTTGGGAGGATATCTAGATATAATCTGTAACAGAGAGAAGAGGAAACAACATAACATTTAATTAAAGGTCTACTTAGAACTTTAGACCTAAAAAAGAACATTCATCGTTTTATACCCACTTTCAGAAAATTGTGACTTGAGATGATAGTATTTGTCCATATTTCCAGATTAAAAAACTTTCATTCCAGATGAAAATGATGCAAGTAATGTATTTTATGCTATTTCCTATTATTTATTTGTAATCTTCAGGTATTTATTGATGTGCCACTATGGTTTTTATTCTTTAGAGTAAAACATAATCCCAAAAGAGAATTGCTATTATGTCTGTCATCAGTATCTAACTTTTGATGCCAAATAAAGCAAATACCTGCTACAATATGCCCTTAAAATTATTTTTTAAAAAAACTGTTAGGGGCCATAGAAAAATGATGAAATATTCTCTTGAAAAAAGTTATTTTGCTTTGGTGCTTGCTTTTATTACTCCCACTCTCATAACTGGTTGTTGAGCACAAGGTAACAAAGCATATTTAATGTGTTCTAGATCCAGGAAAATACTGTGAGGAGCTGGGTTAAAAGCAGCTTTTTATGAATATTTTGAAAAATTTAGGTTAAATCATAACATTGGATTTCTGATTGTATTTTGAATTTTAAATTAAGTTGATGTTTTAGAACTAAAGAATGTCACATGAATAGTCATTTGTCATCTTAAATTTCAGATATTAATGAATGAATTAAAGGGTACATCCACTTTTTCATTTAAATAAAAATAAGAATAGAAATATTTAATTAAAGCATTTACTTCCATACATTTTCTTTTCATGAATTTTTATTCAAGACTTACTCTTGAATTCCCCCTCAATTTTTTTAATTGTCTAGAGTTGAGAATTAAATATA